TCGCTCTTCATATTGAATAGCTGTACGTATGGATATGCACTTGAGCTTGTCAGAGGTTAATAACAGATTGCGCCTGACAAATGATATTTATAACTTGCATCTACGATGCAACCTACAATTCACATTTCCAAAATGCAATATATAAATCTCATTCCGAAATGCACCAAAAGTAACATAAATGATAATCACTTTAAATAACAAATATATACATCAAAATGTGTCTTCTAATAAAAATACTTGTTTCACCAACATATAATCCTTCTTACACTTTCCCTTTATAGAATTTCTTCATTCTGATTCTGTGTTTCTTTCTGATTGGTTTTCAAGTATTTTGATAACATTTCGCATTGCTGGATCATAAACCATGTCAGAAGAGACCCAAGATATTACTCAGACATCTTTGAGGAATTCAAAGTAAGAGAATTCCCTCAGGAAATTTTTGACGAATTTTTTTGATCAAATAAACTTAGAAAACCATCAAATTCATTGGAAAAAAGGGGGAAAGGAAGAGTGCCGGAGATATATTAAAAAGAATGGGAAAGGAAAGAGAAGGACATGGAGTGTTCAACTAAAGCTTCAATACAACGTTTTTACTCTTCATGCACCAGATTTGTTGGGAAAAAACGCACTTGCAATGCGGTAAAATAGCAGGTTACTTGCTATGGATGTGGATATATAAGGTATGTAAGAGGTTGCTCCCAAAGAAAAGGTGGAAAAGGGATAATTTGTGCAAGTTGAGTGGGGAATGTGTTTCTTTTGTTATACAACAACAAGAACAAACATAGTTTAATCCCACAAGTGGGGTCTGGGGAGGGTAGTGAATAGGCAACCTTACCCCTACCTTGTGCAGTTCCCGATAGACCCTCAACTCCAAGCAAGCATGCAAAAATCACAACAGTATTTCTTTTGTTATCTGTTCTGTTAAATGTTGTCTACATAATAATCTGAAAATTGCTTCAAAGGGGGTGACCTAGCTGTCGAAGAGATGGAGTAACAATCTCAATTATTCCTATTTGCTCAAGTCTGATGGGTAAAGTTACCCAACATCTGTGCAATTGGTAGGTGACAAGTACCCGGTGGGTTAGTCGAAGTGCACGCAAGTTTGTCCAAATACCATCGTCATAAAAGAAAAAAAAACTTAAATTATCTGAAAATTGTCCTGCATTTAACTGACTGAGCTCATGGATTGGTTTATGTGCTAATAAGTTTCGAATCACTGAACTTCAGCCAGGACCCAAAAGATGTTAATGTATAATAGTTTAGCTTTATAGTTAGGAATTTGGCTTCTGTTGACTATTCAGTTGATGCAGATTTTTGGGCTCAAGACGCTAGTCCGGAGCTTTTTGCCCCATCAAAGTGCAGCTGTCAGTCGTCCAATTAACTTTTTACTGGATATTATACTGGAAATGCTTCAGAAGGGTGATTTTTATGGTGGTAGTATCTCAAGGTAGGATGATTATTGTCAAAATTTCTAATTAGATGTTTATCAGTATATGAGATTCTGCTTCTTTGAGCATACTAGAGAGTCCTCGACATTTGGGTAATGTTATATTCCTGGTGACTTGTGAATGAAAATTTCGTTGTTAGTGGCTTGTACGTTAGCCTGAAAAACTTAAGGAATTGGGCACTACTCAATACTAATACAGAAACTGTAAGATAAGTAATGGTCTTACCGATGTCTCCACTTAATGATGTGGAAGAGGGTGAATCTCCATGCTCAAGGACCAACATACTTGTAAGCTGTAAGGCTCTTATATGCTCTGACAATATGTAGTTTAGATTCATGGTTTACCTCCTAGCAGATGTAACCACATAGGTTGAAAACAATTCTAGCATGGAGTCACTATCCATGAAGCACTGCACAAAATTTAAGGCTATGCGACACTGTATACGCTATTTGTTTATATCTTCTTTTATATTTTATATTTTTGGACATCCTTGTCGCATAAAATGGACACAAGTAACCTATTCTGGGACATCAAATTGACCTGATAAAATCTAGACTAATTACTTTGGGCCTTAGCGTGACAAATATTACTTCCAGAAATAAAAAGGATATCCCAGAATATCGCATAAAACTCCAGCAACTAGCCTAAGCCTCCATTCTTCTTCGCTTCTTCTTTCTTTCATTTTTTGTTCCCTTAGGGTGAGTGGGTGTATACTGTATGCAGTCTTCCCCTCGTTTCTGCAAAGAGACTATTTCCACACCTAGAACCTGTGACCTGTAGGTCTCCAAGGAAGAAACTCTACCGTTGTGCGGAGGCTTGTCCTTTTTGCTTGCACTTGCCTACTGGCAAAAAATGTTTGGACCTACTTTACCACTTAGTAGATTCTATGCTGCTTATACTTCAGACAAACAGAAGGTATTGCAGGTCACTTTTGTACTTCCTATAGATAACATGCTTGCCACATTGTAGCTTTTAAGAAAATTTAACCAGAACAAATGAAAGGTGGAAACTAAAGGTATTCTCTGTTTCAAAACATTTTTGCTGCAGGTGATATCTTCTTTGTTGCGTTTGTGACACTTGCAATGTCTTATTTATCCGTTATCTTTTTAGCAGTGATTCTGACAAGACTCATATTAGATTAGCTGCTGCAAAGTCCGTTCTTCAGCTCTCAAGAAGGTGGGATTCACTCATTTCACCACAACTTTTCCGCTGCACGGTTTTGACGGCCAAGGTTAGAAGAGCTCCAGTCTGAAGTAATCCTTTTGTAATTACTTACAAATTCTAGCAACTCACTGGCCAAAGAGATGCAGAGTTTGAGATTCAACAAGTTTTATATTTGTGAAGGTCTTATACAGTGCATAATTGATAAGTAACAGTTGGATTATATAATATAGAACCATACCTCTTGTTTACTTGTTGTTCTGGCGTTTAGGTTCTGGGAAGACATTATACGTTTATAGTTTATTACCTTGTCACCGTTACAATCAGCAGAATTGTGTCATTTTCTCATGTTGTCTTTCTTCTTTATGATATTGGCCAAGCGTAATGTATGTTGAGGTAGAGTAATGGTTAGTTTTGCAAATAGAATGGATTTCTCTTGTAATTTCATTTTTCTGGTAAGAGGACTTTGATGACTGAGAGCCTCGGTTCATAGGAGATAATTCAGTTTCATTTCCTGTAGTTAAACTTGGTGGAGAATGAATGAGAAAAAGTAATAAAATTTTCAAAAAGGAACAAAAGAAGTTGCTCCCTCCTTTTCAATTTATGTGTCTTAGTTTGACCGGGCACGGAGTTTAAGAAAGTAAGGAAGACCTTTAAATCTTGCTGTCTTAAACTAAAAATGCACGTAATGTACCAAGATGTCCTTGAATCTTGTGGTCTTAAATATGCCATGTGGAAAGTGGAGTTAAAGAGTTACTAACGCATAAATTGAAATGGAGGTAGTAAGAACTAAAGAGTTGATAGTTTTGTTAAGTGAGGGGAGTTCTTACACTGGATGATTTGGACTACTATATGGTGTAAGTTGGGTTTCTTGCTGTGAAAGTATAGCTTCTTAAATGTAGTTGATATTTGATGCCATTGTTTGTTATGTTATATCATGTATAAGGTAGCCAATTCAGACAAAGCTCATGATATGGACTCTGCTAAATGGCGGACTAATTCCCTTTCCTTAGTTTGTTTTATATTTTCAAGCTTGCCTTGTTTTATTTTCTTTTCTGCCATGCTTGGCAGAATCTACTTTAGCTAAGGTCGAACCGTCATAAATTTCCTGATATTCATTGTAGCAAGAATTTGACTTGATGAATTGAAAGCCTATGTAGATATAAGTTAACAGTAATAGCTTGCGTTTGAGTTTCACTTTTCTAATATTCGAAGTTTGTGATCCTGGATTCCTATAACTTGGTGATAGGATAATTCTCCTCTAGTACAGAGACTGTTTGTTAAGAAGGTGCAAAAGCTTTTGAGGGAGCATAAGATCCCTTGTAGATATGCATGTGCATTTCCATTTGCTGCCACAGACTCTCCAGAAGATCTACAACAAATTGTAGGTTTTTATTAAAATCTTAGTGGTTTGTTTGTTGTCAGATTATTTGCGCTCTCCTGACATAACCCTTTTTTAGTCTTTGAAGTACATGGAAGAATTTGTACAGGAATATGGAAATACAGCAAGAATAAATCAAATATCTACAATGCCTGGACATGTGACTGGTCTTCCTGTTTACGTAGTGGTTTTCTTGATCCACATCCTAGCTCATGATCCAAATTTTCCCACTGCTGATCATCATGATGCCAACTTCTGTGTTCAGTTTTTCAGGTTAGTGTTTACTCATCAGTTGTGTCTTTAAACACCTCTTCCTTTTCTTACTATCCCTTTGGGCCAGTCCACTTGTTTTCAGCTTGCAGGCGTTGGTTGATTTTAATTGCTCTGATGGCACTGTGGACCTCATTAGTAAAGCTATTTCATACTTGAGAAGCATCTTCCATGCTATAAAAAAAGCAGAGGATGCTGTTGATGCACAAATTACACCTGTCAGTGTCTTGGTCTTGATATTGATGCTAGTTCCTTATTCTTAAATGTATTAGTGTTGATTCATGAGAGAGTTTGTCATATTGCAGAAGCTTCATGTTTTGTCAGATATTGGGATTTCTTTGTTGGATGCAATAGGTAACACACGCGTCTCTCGTTCACATATCCCTGGACTTATTTTGCTACCATCTTCACTGTATAAAGTGGGTCAAAAACATATTAGTCAGGCAAGTTCTACAATTCATTTTCTTTTGGCATGCAGCATTTGGTTTGACTATTTTTTGTTTTATTTACACTTCTCTTCTTTTCTTTTGCAGGGAAACAGTGATCTTTTAATTCGTTTTCACCAAGATGAAAGTTTCATTAGGAAATTACTTGATAGTTCGAAAAATAAAGCTCAAGTACATTCCTTTATCCCCTCTATTGATTTTTATCAGTTGTCACTGGAAGTGCATAACCGATTTTGTTCTCATTGTTCTTCCTGTGATATCTCAGACTGCTGGCTCCATTAATGCACCAAACCAAAAATGTCAAGATGGCATGACTCGGTCAGGTAACAGTGGGGGCAGCAAATTGGAAATGCAATTTTGCAAAAAGGGACCTCTTCCGTTGAGCATCATAAAAGAGAAATATTCAGATAAGGAAGAGTTAAGTGAAACTTCAAACCAAGAGCTCGATACTAGAGAAAGACAAAAAACATCTGAACCATGTTCAGCTTCTGCATCATTTGAATTACATAAGGAGTTTTCGATTGACGATGAACATGAAGATGATGCACATGGAGCCATTGAAGCAGTGATTAGAACTGAGCATCTTCCATATCATTCAAGAACTCGCAGTTCACGACCCTTGTCTGATAAGAAGGATGAACATCCATGTTCTCTAAAAGAAAAAGAGACAATCTCAAGATGTCAAACAATTATGCGTGAGCGTTACAAATCCGTGAAAGGCAACAGCTCAGATATTCCCATCTCAAAGGTATATCCTATCAAATCTTTCAGCTTTTTTCACTCAGACTTCTTGCTCAAACTCTTGAACATGTAGGAAAGCAAAAATAAAGGTGAAAAGTTAATCAGGCAGCAAATAGAACTGTGCTCTTCCGAGGATAAATGGTGAGAATTGCTTTGGTATTTGTATATTTTATAACATTCACTTTTCATGACATGTATGTTCTTTCAATTATGTAGTTGTTCTGGAAGCACAGAGGCTTTCGATTCTAGCGACAACACTCTCAAGGTCAGTCAGAAGATTGCTAAATATAAGAGATGTCTTCAATGATGTGTAGAAAATGTTATATCTGTTTTTTGCTCGTTTCCCTGTAACATAAATAGTCAAAAATGGAATATCTAATTGTACGATTGGGATTTTCTCTCTCTTCTTTCTTAAAGCTCTCAGGCACACTCCCCGAGGAGCCTGAGAACAAGGAATTCTGAGAATCCATTAACACCATTAGAACGCCGATCAAATTCCGACCACCCCTCTGAAAATAGCTCCGATAAAACACCCCCACGCGCCCCCACGCGCCCCCACGCACAGCCAGACTCCGGCGAGGACAAAGCCATGCGCCGGCGCGTGAGCACAATTCCGACCACTTTTTCAAAAATTTTCTTCTAGACAGCACAATCACTAGGGAATTCCGACCACAACCATACAATCGTTTTTGAATTTCGACAACTTTTTCTTTTCCGGTGGTAGGAACCTTCCAGATTTCTGGTTCTGGTTTTTCCTCTTTCATTTTCGAGTTTTCTAGCCCACCGGGATAACTTCCAAACAAACTTTAACCTTCATAAGCTGAGCAGCTGGTTTTAGTACAATATGGGAGACAACAGGATATATTTCAACGCAGGATTCAAATCTTTTGACATCACCAGATGGAACTCTAACAAAGACACATGGTTTGAATGGGTTGAGAGAAGTCGCAACATGATGAGAAGATCATCCATGGGCAGAAAGGCAATGGAATGGATCTGCTTTGCACTTAATGAAGCCTCGACAAATCAAAACAATCTAGTGAAGAGATGGAAGTACAAGGAACAAATGACAGAACATTTCTGTACTAGGAAATATAACGCTCATGGAAGATATATGAGTATTCTGTCACTGAAGGGAGAAGGGAGGTCAGTGATAATACTCCCAGAGTTAACTCTGAACTCTGGCTGGAAAGACATAGCAGCTAAGATAGAAAGATTCATCTATCAGACCACCAGGCTGATTTCCATAGCACCACCCAGAAACACTGTGGAAAATCTCCCATATGCACAAGTAGTTAAGGAGAGTAAATGGCAGTCCAATACACTTCGAGAGGCAAGGATCAACACGAACAATGGGAAAATCTCTGTTATGGAACCTACTGGAGGAGAGGACACAGGCCTACTAAAAAGATGCATTATCGGGTCTTTTGGGAAAGAAATCAATGAGAGACCCACTTTAGCAGACATAAGGCGATGGGCGAGTGCTTCATGGAACAAAGCATACGGAGTTAATATATATGAAATGATAGGAAACATGTTTCTTTTCGAATTTCCAAACAGATTCATGGCAGAGCAGATTGTGCAAGGAGAATGGAGATGGAAAAAATTCAAGCTTCATTTGGAATGGTGGAATCATAATGCCGGTTGCATTCCAAACTCACAAATTGAGGAAACATGCTGGATTAGAGCCATGGGGATTCCTTTACATCTATGGTCACAAAAGATCTTCAAAGAAATAGGAGATCTCTGTGGGGGATGGTTAGCTACAGAAGAAGAAACTGATCTCAAAAACCATCTTAAGTGGGCAAGAATCAAAATTGCTGGTGATGGCAGAAAGACTCCCAATGAGGTGGGGATTGAAAGAAATGGTACCAAATTTTTCATCCCAATCTGGGCTGAAAGAAAGACACGGTATGAGCTGAACACTGGTAAAGGAAAGGCAAGTGGACAATTTACACAAGGTTCAACTTCGATGAATCAGAGCAGTAAAGTGTCAAAAGTCGAGCTGAAATCCTATGACCCCGATTTGGCTGCACAAGTCATTTTTAATGACCTCTCGTGTGAGTTTTCTGTTGATACTGGGCTGAAGCCTTATATCGAGGAAATGGGAGGACCTTCTTACTTGGGGGCAAAAGAGTCCTCTCCAGGGGAGCCAACCCCCAATGTAAATCATGAAAGTATGCAAAAGGCAACACTTATCAGTTGCAGTCAGCCAGAAGGTGGAGTAGAGTTAGCAAGATTGGAACATAAGGCAGGGGAGCAAAGTATAAACACAAAGATGGGGAATGATCGTGTGGGAAGTGCTTTGGATCATCTGAAGCAATCTAGCTCTATCCAAGAGTGGGAAATCGAGGAGGTGAACCCTATAGCAGTTCAGCAACACAATCCATTATTGGATAAAGACATGGATGCAACAATATGGGTCCATCAAAATATGATCAAATTGGGGAAAATGTTTGGAGTAGATTTCCAAGGACATGAAGAAGAAGCACTGGAGTTGTTAATGCAAATTGACAGCTGCAGACAGGTAAGAAGGGTGGAGACAGAGTTGGAGGTGAAGAAACAAAGATTCAAAGAATCACTGGAATTAAAAGGGTTAACTTCTTTTGATGTCAAATTCAAGAGTGACGGGAAAAGGAGTAGGGGAAGAGATCTATCAATCATTTCAATATGAAGATCAAAGTAATTTCCTGGAATGTAAGGGGATTAAACGATAAGAAGAAAAGGGAGATCATAAAAAGTCAAGTGCAGAATTGGAGGGCAGACATTATATGCATGCAAGAGACAAAAGTCGAGGGGGATATCGAGGAAATAGTCAGGCAAATATGGGGTGGTAGATGGGTGAGGTATGCAAGTTTAGAAGCTAGCGGCACGAGAGGGGGGATTTTGTTGTTATGGGATTGCAGAGTATGGAAAGGGGAGGTGTTACAGACTGGTGCATACACTTTGACGTGCAAGTTTGACGCTCTTCTACAGAATTTTCAATGTCACATAACAGGAGTGTATGCTCCAAATTGTAGAATAGAAAGGAAAAAAGTATGGAGAGAAATTGGTGCAGTGAGGGGATTGATGGAAGGTCCTTGGGCGGTTTGTGGCGATTTTAACGTTACAAGGTACCCTTCTGAAAAACGGGAATGTTCAAGGAGGTCCAGAGCGATGGTGGAGTTTTCGGATTTTATAGAAGATATGGAGTTGATAGATCTTCGACTTGAAGGAGGAAACTATACTTGGTTCAAAGGGGACAATCATACAGCGGCTTCAAGAATTGATAGATTTCTCATTTCAGAAGAATGGGATGTAAGGTTCAGAAACATCAAGCAAACTATCCAACAAAGGTTGATTTCGGACCATTCACCTGTGGCTCTAGACTGTGGTGCGTGGGAACAAGCTAAATCATACTTTAAGTTTGAAAATTGGTGGCTGAATGTGGAAGGTTTTGAGGACAGAATTAGAGAGTGGTGGGGATCTTTTGAATTCTCAGGAAGACCTGATTACATTTTAGCTTGCAAGTTAAAAGCTCTCAAGGGCAAGCTAAAAGGATGGAGCAGAAGTTACGAAGGCAATTTGGGACTGCAGAAATCAAAATTGCTAAGTCAACTAGCAGATTTTGAGACAACGCAACAACTAAGAGCGTTGACAGAGGAGGAATCAGTCAGGAAAGCAGCCACTCTAATGGAGATTGAGGTGCAACTCAAGAATGAAGAATTTGCATGGAGACAAAAATCAAGAGCTTTGTGGCTCAAAGAAGGGGATAGGAATACAAAATTTTTCCATCGGACTGCAAATGCACGCAAGAGAAACAACAACATTGACCAAATAATGATTCGACATGAAGTAATCGAGGATCCAGAAAGAATAGAGAACGAGATCATAGAATTCTACAAGGAGCTTTACACAGAACCTGAACAGTGGAGACCAACAGTCAATTTTGAAAATAGTTCAAGCATTTCTGAATCAGACAGGGAGTCTTTACAGAGTAATTTTGAGGAACAAGAAGTGCTAAGCAGTCTGAAGATGTGTGCAAGTGACAAGGCTCCAGGGCCAGATGGATACACAATGGGTTTTTTCAGAAAGTGCTGGGACATTCTGAAGGAAGATATCATGGCGGCTTTTAACAACTTCCATTCACAGGAGATGTTTGAGAAAAGCTTCAATGCAACATATATAGCTTTGATTCCAAAGAAGACAGGTGCGAAAAAATTGAGAGATTTCAGACCGATCAGTCTAATAGGGAGCTTCTACAAACTGCTCGCAAAAGTCTTAACTGAAAGACTTAAGAGGGTGGTTGGGAAAATTGTCGATGCTCAACAAATGGCGTTCATCAAAGGAAGACAAATAATTGATGCAGTGTTGATTGCTAATGAAGCTGTGGACTCAAGAATAAAAAAGAAAGAACCTGGAATCTTATGCAAATTGGATATCGAGAAGGCCTATGATCATGTGAACTGGAGCTTCCTACTAAGAATGTTAGAACAAATGGGTTTTGGGCAAAAATGGATTAGATGGATGAAATTTTGTATATCTACTGTGAAATTTTCCATTCTTATAAATGGATGTCCTAAAGGTTATTTTTATTCACACAGAGGTCTCAGACAAGGTGATCCTTTATCTCCCTTTCTATTCATCATAGCCATAGAAGGATTAAACAACATGATCAAAACGGCTAAAGTCAGTGGATGGGTTAAAGGTTTTGAGGTAAACAGGAGTGGGGCTACAAATCTAGAGATCACACATCTCCAATATGCAGATGATACTCTAGTATTCTGTGATGCTGAAAAAGACCAACTTAGATTCTTAAGGATCATTTTGGTTTTATTTGAAGGAGTATCAGGATTACACATTAACTGGAGAAAGAGCAATATTTTTCCCATTAATGAAGTTAACAACATGGGGCAACTGACTCAGATATTGGGAGGAGAAGTTGGGTCCCTACCAACTGTTTACCTTGGGATGCCTCTTGGTGCAAGATCCAAATCAAAAGAAATCTGGAATTCAGTCATAGAAAAGTGTGAGAAGAAGTTGTCAAGATGGAAATCGCAGTACCTATCATTGGGGGGTAGGCTAGTTCTAATCAACTCAGTATTAGACTCTCTACCTACTTACATGATGTCTTTGTTCCCAATTCCAACAGGTGTTATACAGAGATTGGACAAACTCCGAAGAACTTTCCTTTGGCAAGGCAATAAGGAGAAAAAGGTCTTCCATTTAGTCAATTGGAAGACGCTAACAATGGATAAAAAACAAGGTGGAATGGGGATAAGGAAT